AAAAGCCAGCTGTTGTGGGCCTACCAGACCTATCCCCACAGAATGAAACACTTCACTACTGTTTAATTCTGTGTGGTTGGGGAAGGTTAGGGTTAATTGAAATATTTCTGCAAAAACTACTCAATGACTTACTGTCAAGAACTGGAATAACACATCACGAAAGCAAGCAAAATTTTAAAAGTAAAACATGAAATATTCTGGAGACAAGTTTCTTCCTTGGGTGACATCACACTTTTGATCATATGCCAATTTGTATAAATTTGTATATACATATAAAAATTCGAATACAAGACAAAAGGCACCAAAATGCCATCAATACAGTACAGCAAAAATTGAAAATAAGATTAAATGGGACACATACATGACAAAGCAGCATTCACTGGTATTTGTGCAAGACCTGCATTTTACTATAAATGTGGGGGGGACTTTTACCTTTCAAGAGAGCAACCTGTGTGGCATGAGTGCCTGGACTGGTGGATTGGACCTTTCAAGGTTGAGTCAACCCAAATAATTGAATATTCAAATATTTCTACAGTCCCAGGACACATCCATGCACCTTAATCTACATCTCCCAAAATCTTCCAAGCCTCCTGGATTTTGAAGGGTCCGGGAAGGTCAGGGCTAAACATAACAGATTTCTGAACAAGTTGATGACGGACATGTTCATTTTTTTTTACCATTTGTAGTGGAGGTGGCGCTGCTTTCCATGGTGTTCAACGCAAATCTTGAAACGGTCTAGCGAGAGCCTGCATGCATGTGCGTTCACACTCACAGAGACCGACCTGAGAACAGAGGTGAGAGAAACTGAAGAATTTGTTGACAGTTCACATGGTGTAACATCACTTCTCTGCCCAACCAGAGACTTCAGTTGAAGGCTGGGTGTCATTGAAAGAGATGTCTCACATACCGGTACATGTATCTTTTTAATTAACTTTTAAAGGGTCATTTTTGCTGTTAATATACTTATACTCTATAGTTAATATAACTGTGCTCTTTGCTTTAATTAAGAATTTTCTTCCCTGACTGGAATTGTGAGATAATGTGTGCTGTCTTTTATTTATTTGTTGTAATTTGTACACTGTCAAGTTTAAGATACATGTACATGCATGTATTGTTACCAACTTACAGGTACATTCCTTTTTTTTTAATATCTCTTTATGACTTTTTGAGAAATATGTCCGTACTTCAAAACTTACAGTAACGATGCAATGATTTTTTTCTTAGAATCACTTTTTGTGTATACAAACACGTTTAAACTCTTCTTTAATGTGTGCAAACTGTTTGACATCTTTTCGGAGATAACTAAAGTGAAAAGTGCACTTATCCAGACAAGTGAGGGCACTGTTAGTGTGATGTAAATTCAGGAAGACACTGTTCAGTTTGCATGGTTTCATGCGCAAATTTTGAATCCCAAATTTTCTCTCTGAAAACATGAGAAAAGTCCCTCACTGGCTCATTGCTATAATAGCCTGCCAAAGGAAATGGAAATCTTCAGTAGCAATTTCTAACAAAATCTGGTATTTTTGTGCACAAATCGATGCAACACTGAGGTTCAGTGCCTTTGATTATATCACAGTTTTACTCATGAATATGCAAATTTACATTACATGTCGCATAAAAACCAAGAAGGCTCCAAGATACAGAAGAACACAGCAAAGCAAAAATTGAAAATAAAGTTAGTTGAACACAAAGGAACTTCTGTTTCATGGTCCAGTAGGTTTGATAGCTCCATTCCTACAAACAGAGCAAAAGTCTGGGCTTGGACGGATTTCGGTATTATCAATAGTGGTGGTATTTTTTCAATACTGACAAATACCGACGGGTGGTCCATAAACACCAATATACCGACAAATACCTGTGGAAATTTGACACCATGGTATTCTTGCTAATATGCTTCAAAAATAAAGGAAAACCACCATATCATCTTATTTTACTTCATCTCTTGTGGTACAAGTCACCCAGTATCATGCCTGCATTGTCACTTGGACTTGGTAACGTGAAACTTTAACAACTGTCAAGTTGTCAACCCACCAGCCAAAAGCCTTTGAAGTTTTATTATCCCCCGACTGGAAGTGGAAGTCAGAAGTAGTTGCTGGCATGCCCAGTGAATGTCACTGCTCATCTACTGTTGCTTTTTGATGACGCACACTCAACACCCCAGTTCAAAGAATATCACGGTATTAGTGAATATCGCTGTATCTTTATCACGAATATCACAGCATTAAAAAATTCAGTACCGTCCAAGCCTACAAAAGTCCAAGACATTTTGAACCCTGAAGAGTGAATGACACTCTACAACATTTCTGATCACTCTTAATTGTCAAATTGCTTGCAAAGCTAGTCAAGAAATACTATGCCAGAGCAGGTGGAGTAAGTTGTTAATGCAGACAATCATGTTATCAATTTCCTTATTCTAAATTCTTCAACTACGTTGAAATAAATATTCGGAACATACAGAATACAAAACTCCAATCACCATCACTGACATTATTTCAAGGACAGAAAAACTTTAACATTTTGTAAGAATATACATGTATGCTCTTCATCGTCTCATAACTTTCCTCAGCCTGCTTTTCACATACAAAGGAAATACCGTCAGGATTCTTCTGATTATAATGTACACAAAAACTTCTCAAACACAAACATAGGCCTACCCCAGCAACATGGTCATTGATACGTGCATGTACATGTACAGTGTACATGCCTTTTCCTTCCTCCGTGATCTACATGTACCTGTTACAGTTACGGGCCTAACTGTGGAATATCAAAAGCCACCTCACAGATATCTTATCTAACATTACTTACGTCTATGGAAATCCGGCCCTGCAGAGCACAAGAAAATCACACCAGTCTCCCTCACACCACCATGGAGCTTTTAAAAAGGATGCTCACACACATTTGTCGTGCACACACGGAACTCACTCTTCATCGAAATGTCTGTTCTCCGGTACGGTTTGTCTTCCATATGCATGCTCCGCGTTCTGCTGGTGTCCAATATATTTGTATATGTAGTCTGAAAACCCAATCATTCGTCATATAAACTTGCTGGCCATGAACCAGGCGCCTTACTACTCCTTAGTCGATTCATTTTATTCATCCATGGTTGATTAAAAAGACCAAGGGAGGATTCGTCAATAATCTTTGCCCGACAATAATTTCTAGATTCCATGGTGGAAAAAAATCATTCATCATCAATATTTTAAAGGTTCATTTTAATTTTATATCAAATTAAGCCTTAGTTTAGACTTCAGTATTGCGAAGAAATGAAAGTAAATTTTTCCCACCCCTTTAGAAACATAAAACCGTCCAAAGATATTACCACGCAACGACCGCCCACTCGATCGGCCTGCTTGTGCATGTGGTGCTTTGCCCATGACGGCGCTGTTTAGTTAAAATTATTAGGGTACAGTCCACTAATTCAAGCCCCATCGAAAACAGTGTAAAATCACCACTGTTCAGGGCCCAGTAACATGCGTACCCACATTCCTGAGATTTCTGAAACACAAATGGAATTATTGTCTGGTCCCAAATCTTTAAATTTCTTTTCAATTTTTGATTATTCCCATAAGACAAAATCACCCCCCGAAAACTTATTATCGAAGTCCGATTGCAGCCATTTCTCAAGTTGCAACCCTAAACTTTCTCGGGCACTTAGGACCATTTTTCAACCGTATTTTTTAGCCATTCTGCTCTCATATGAAAGCTCAAAGACCCAGGGAGTCGACCCTGGCAACGATTTACACAATCTCACCATTTTGGGGGCCATACAGTCTCCTTTTTCAAAAGATACTGTGGGGGCACTTTTAATGCTAATGAGCTGGCCAGAAATTCTCACTTGAATTAATAGTGTGGCTGCACCCTCTATGCAGCCACGATCGACGATGACAACACGTGTGAATTATTCATTGAAATAAATGTTTTGCTGACCAAAAGTTATGACAAAAAATCTTTGGAATTTTTTCCATATAAATGATCTTGTTGACTCTGGTATCGATTCTCTTAATTTTTTTTCCATTTAGTATTACTCTCGACTAAACATAAAGTTGGATACCCAACTCAATGCAGCTAACTCATACCAACACCAATAGTTAATTAATGCAACTAAAATGGCCGCTTTCATTTGAAATGTCAAAGTAACAGAAAACAAATTCAAAGTCCTTTTTTAAAAGTCATGATCTATTTTATTAATACACGTCATCTATTTGTAAATAAGATTCAGGAGAACCTAATCTTAATTTTTATCATAGAGACCAGAGCAAAGTTGCTTTTACATACACTCGTACACATGTCAATACCTGTTAAGAAGAAAAAAGATTAACTTAGAGCTTGAATGTTATTCCAAATAAATACACTCCTGTTATCATTTTTAATTAACCCCAACTAGCCCGAATCAACTCAATCCAACAACTGGTTAAAAGGTAAGCAGGTCATGGGTTCGAGTCCAACCTGAGCAAACTACTGAATCCCCCCCCCCCACGGATTGAAAAAGCACTCAACACAGTGCTTACTAGATTACCCGTCCAAGGGTAAATCTGACAGGTCAATGTACATCTCTTTTGATACCAAATTGTATGCAACAGCTGAATAAATCCCTGTCAATTAATATTCTATCAAACGGCAACCGTAAGAACATTGTGTTAAGTGTGTCCAGCAGGCATGGTCAACGTTCTGATAAAAAAAAAAACCTGTTCCCTCATGTCCGTCTTCTTTACACAACGAAAAAATACTTTGAAACAATTAGAGCAACTTCAAGACACACAAGACCGTTTGTTGAAGCACTGACTACATGTACTTTTGATATGCCTAACAGCTTCATGTGGAAATTCATGCTGGACTGAAGAAGTAAAAAAAAAAGGTGACTTTACGCAAGGATTTGTTCACAAATAATCAGGAACAAATAATGCATGCTTAACACTCATGAAATGGAAAGAATCCTTCCATGTTCAAAGAATCATTCCATTCCACTCGGCTTAATCTCTTTGATTAGAACATGCCACATACCATTTAATCCTTTGTTTGCACCTGCAATGGAAAAACTTGATTTACCATCTTAATGCAAAATTTAGTCAACAGTGGGCGGTACTTTGACGGATGCAGGATTGCACTGTACCACAGGTCCTTGCTGGTTTCCCCCAAATTTTTGAAGACAGCGCAACTGGCTTGTGTTGGATTGTGGCCGATTCGGGAAACAAAGTGGTAAAGGGGAGTCAGTCGTTCTTTCATTTCCACAATGTGAAAAAAAGGAGAGCGTGCATGCAAAGAAAAAGATTCAAAATAAACATTTGCACCTTCAACGGAGATTAAAACAAAAAGGAACTTCACATACGGGAATTTGAACAAATCAAATCCAAGCCAGCTGACAACCTACCTCGCAAACTTATTCTCATGAACCCGTTGGGGATACTGGAGTGACAGATGAGGTCTTGTTTACAGACCACATAAAAGCCGTCACCGAATCCATTTCTTTTCTTCTTTTTTATAACAAGAAAACCATAGTGTGATCAATACAAGAGGGAAAACACATAGGGTCTTAGAGCCAATACTAAGAAAACCCAATTACACTTAATTTCTCGAATAGGTCCATGCACATATCCGACTTTTAAAAATATTGCATATATAAAAACAAGTCCCTTTTCTTCCAATTTCTCCCACACAAGGAGGCGAAGGTTGTTTTTCTCTCTGCCGGTTCTTCTAATAAAGCAAAAATTCCAAGGAATTTTAAATGCCGCTAATGGAGCAAATCTGCCCTCTGTTTTTTTTTCCCCCTCAAGACAATAGTTCAAAATTTACGTACTGTACAACACAGGAATTGTATATGTACAGAGTGACATCTCCTTACAGGCGCGGTACACGTGACATCCGAGAACTCTCTGAGGGGCGGCCATCAAACACGCACCACGCGGTAGTAAAAATAACAATACATCTCATCATGTACAAAATCCAACAGTCTGACACACGACACGGCCCTCTGGGGTTTTTTCCCCTACGATTGACGACATCAGATCTCGAGCCTTTGTTGCTGCAACCCAGTACCAGTCTTTCATTGCAAATAAATAAAAAAAAAACAATTAATCTTCTTCATTTTTTGGGGCAAGTTGCATGATAAGAACCCTTTATGTTTACTGTTTCTATTCAAGCGTCCTCTCTGGGACGTCTCCAAAAAATAGCTGTTCTGACCAACGGCAAACAGCCAGCGCCTGGAGCAGCAGGCAAATGGCCTCTTAGAACAACGGTTCTGATAAAATCAATTTGTCCGTTTACACATGGTCGCCGGGGATTCTAACCAGGTCTAAAAACAGCAGCATGTTCTAAAAGCACACCGACAAGCTCTACTGATTAATGATTCCGGGTGAATGACGTTCACCTCCATGAACTTGACTTCCACGTCATTCAAAACTGAGGATGTGAAAATGGTGACATCCAAGGATTATGAAACTGTTTGTGTCAGATTTGAGGTAGAAGAGGGAGGAAGTGCACCACACAAACTCTGTACAAGTTATCCAAACATCGTTGAACAGGGCAAACGTTAATCTGCGCTCGTTGCTCTATGGATTGTCTTGGAAGGGGAGGGCAAGGCCAGAAGACAGGTGGGATTACACACGACCTTTCAGTTCTTTTTTTTTTTTCCCCCAGGTGCAGGAGATGTTCCCTCACTGGAAAACATCGATTTTGTTTCAAGGACTGAAGATTTTGGGGTCGGTTTTCGGTGTTTAGTTCCTGTAGTTTTTGGTGTTTAGTTTAGCCTCTGTACCTCCGCACTGACATAAGAGATTGTAGCAGTTTCAAATTCAAAAATTATATTTAAAAAAATGACCTGCCTGTCAGCGAAAAATAAAAAAAAATTTCTAACAAGAATACTGAAGATCCCAGTGCTACCTGCATGGGGGAAATCATAGTGCCACTGAAGAATTGTCAAGGGTTGTTCTTGTTTTTTTCTTGCTCCCAGCATCGGCCGTCGATTGAAACCAAACATTCCATTCTGGCAAAACCACAAAACATAATTTATAGCCACCGCAGACCTGTCAACTAACCTAGGAAAATCCGTTCATATCCACATGATGCTTCGGTGCAGATTTACAAATAACGTCACATCTAATGTCCCAGCATAAACCCAACATCTTACGATCCGGCCACCAAATCTGACCATGATTGGATCAATTACTTTTTTCGTTTTATTTTTAATAGTCGTCAAAATCGTTGAAGTCGTCCAGGTCGGGCTCCATCTCTTGGAAGTCCACTCGGTAGCGGAGGATGCCGCCGATGCCGCCAAAGCCCTTACAGAACTGCGAGCCCTCCTGCGATCGGTCGGTGATGATTTCGAGCGTGGATCCTGCCACAGAGAAAAGGAGGAGAAACATTAAGGTTAGTGAAATGCCTGTGAAACAGGTTTAAAAAATATTCTTGAAAATTACAGACGAGTGCGTACTGACACCAACTTTGAGTAGATCTTGGACTTCAACAAAACTGTAACTGAAAACACTGCCTGTATAGCTCTCACTTCACGTGTCCAAGCAGGAATCTCGGCTTAGCAGGAATGGGTGGAGTGCCAGTCTCAACTGCTATACTTTGCAAGGCACTTTGGCTGGTAACCTGTTTTTACATGTTTTAACTAGGCATATATATTATTTGGACTTGGTGTTATTTTTCGTAAAGCGGCTTTTGGATATCCGCCACCGTAGCAGTGACAACTCTCAGAGGTCAGCGGTTTACAGCAACAGGCTGAGGCTTTCCGGGTATACAGACCAACTGACTCTTGGATGGCACTTCTGACAACTTGCTTACCGAATGTCTTGTAGTTGTTTGCAAGCCACTCTAGTAAGGGTTGGGACTCGACCAACTCAAGCTCCACGCCGGTCTGGGACAAGAAAGGAGACATCGCCTGAATTCAATTGAAGGTCTGAGAAACCCTGTTCAAAGTTTTCTCTTTTAACAAGTGACCATTTCTCTCTCTAGACATTGTTCCAGCATGGGGTGAAAACAATTGCAAAGCAACAGAATGAAATTTCTCCGTGGGTCAGCTTCCCACAGAGCAGTGAGTGGTAGGCCACAGAATCTGTTTGAGGCAGACAGGCAACCAAGTTTTTGATACAAAGCAACTTACGTCTTTGTCCATGAAGTATGTCTTGTCTCGCTCCTGCTCTTGTGTCAAATGGAGAACCTTCTCCTCTGTAAAATGCAAAAGGAAAAGAATAATTTCAGTGGAACAGATGTTTGGTTATGGTTTATCACTCTAGCCCACATCTCCTACAGTCTTTGAGGGAACTATTGGCAGTGATGGCGGTGGGTACTGTGGCAAGTCCCAGGCTCATGCTAAGGGACAGCCGGGAATCAACTCCAGCTAGCTCTCTTGAATTTAAACTTGTGTGATGTGTTTAGCGAGATTCCAAAACCCTCCCAGTTATAAACATCCTCTCAGGGGAAATTTTCTTCAGCAGGGGGTCTGACTGGAAGACAGATCAGCCAGATAAGTATTCAAAGCTGGCTCCTTTGTTAATAAGTTTAATAGAAAGCCATGGCAAATGATGCAACGTGACAATGAAGCAGCAGGGTCTAGCTATATGCAGCAGAGCAGGTGATCACCAAGTGCCCGTTTTACGCAACGTCTAACCTCAGACATTTGGTTGTGACCCGATTAACAATGCCAACATGTCATGTAATCAAGTTATAATCATCTCATGTCTAACAAGACACTCACCGCACTTGGGACCTGGGCCCCAGTTCACAGAGTCACTGACCCCAAAGATCCTGCTAAAACAATTTGAGTAGAGTACCGGTCTGAGGTAGCACACTTTGCATGGCAAATCAACCAGTGACCCATTTTTTGCTAAGAATACATTGTTCAGCACTTAGCAGATTTTCAGGCTCAGTGTTGGCGGCGCTGGCTTTCGAGGCACTCCCGAGTGTCAACTCACCGTCTGCCGAGTGGTTCTTGAGTAGGAAGCGCTGGATGTCCAGGTTCTCCCAGACGATCAGGATCTCCACCGATCCCATCTCCAGGGCCTTCAGCGTGTCTGTCACCCCAAAGCAGTACTTCCCCGTGTCCTGTGATATTTCGTCAAAGTATTTCCCTGAGAAGGAAAAAATTTGGTCAGGTGTGACTGGAAAGTCCTTCAGTGACTCGGATTCCCAACACTTTCTGTATTCTTCTGACTCACAGCTCTCTCTCTGTTTTTTTTGTTTCTCGGCCTTCCTGAATTATCTGAAATCTTGTACATCCAAAGTAGTTTAACATACCCAGCCAATCAAATTAACCCTGTTTCTCGCAGCTCCTTCAAAATCCACCATGAGGCTTTTGGAAAAAGTTGAAGGTTGAAAAAGGAAGCGGTCAGCCTCTTAATGCCCTTTGAAAATTTGAGAGCGAAAAATGGACACTTCTGGAGCATTTGGGAAAGTGAACGGGACACAAGTACCCAAGATATTTAGAGATGAATCGCAAATGAGTTTTGCCAGAAGTCCACCTTTTCTGGTTAAGTCCCATCCTAAAAACAGAGCGCTGGACTTTAAAAGACCTACGGGTGGGTAGGGCAGCATCAATGATGTGAAAGGGCATTTCAAAGCCAGTTTCTGGTCTGAGCCCAGAGCAGAGGATTGGCTTACCGATGAGCTTCTTCTCCTGGATAAACTTGACATTCCCCAACACCTCGGTAGAGAGCTCGATGGCCTGGTTGAAGCCGTTCTCGCCTCCATAGGAGACATCTACAAGCTTCAGTACTTTGGTCTGCAGCCTCTGTTAGAATCAGGGGAGGTAAGAAGGGGACAGGCAGATCAGATGCTGTGCCCGATTGAACCACGAGAATTTCTTAGAGTGGGTTAGGGTTGAGGATTCTAACGAGCGAAAGTCAGCTTGAAGTTGTTGAGTCCAGCCCCCTCTATTGGTATTGGTTTTAATGATGTCCAGGAGCAGAGATTCTGTTCATGATGGACTTCAAGGTCTCTGTGCAAGGGTTTAGATTGAAGACAGTGGGGACCCTTTCAAGGTTTGTTTTCAGCACTTACAGGATCAAACATGTCCGACTGGCTGAGCTCCGTCTTGAAGTCGGCAGAGCCGGCCAGGATCAGCCCCGCAATGTTGGGCTTGTCGTTGGTGATGTACAGCGTCACTGCCACCTCGGCCACCTTGCGGACGTAGTTGTGTCTCTTCTCCATACGCAGACGGGCAAAACGCAGCGCCGACTGACCACCACGGCCTGCATGCGAAGAGGAGCAAAAGTGTTCAACATGCAGTGGCCCCACAGAAAGTCAGTGCCCGGGCTCCAAGGGACAGACTTTTTCAATAACGTTAACCCTCGCCTTCCAGGGTATTTGGCCAAAAGCCCTGCCAGGCTTATCAATTTGCATTACCTGTCGTAAGCTGCTAACTGGCAGAGTGCAGTGAGATCTAACACTTGTAACACTTTGTTTCATTCCAAAAATGAGATCGCGCAAGGACTTCAAACGTAGGTATACATGCATTTCCTTGGTACCGAAGTTCAAGTTTAAAATGGACTCATTAAGTTGTAACTTCTTACCGTGTTTCTTTGGCAAGTCAACGGAAAACTTGTGCAACACCTCCCGCGTGTTTCCCGACAGCGTGCCAAAGAGGGCACCGTTGCCGTCCATCACGATGAAGCCAAACTTGTTGTCGTCCGCCAGGAGCGCTGTTAGGGCCTGTCAGTTTCAAACCATCGGCAAAGCAACGTAAATAACAGGCACTACAACATCTAATGAGGGGCTTACGCGAGCAAGTAGGAATCTTCTCTAGATCTAGCACAGACCTTCAACCTGAAGTCCCTTTCTGCTGTTCCAACTTGCAAAAACGAACTACAATCCTACACTTTGACAAAAAGGCGACTCGACACTGACTCATAAATACCTCAGACAGTCGCCCTATTCAACAGCAACCTGATCGTGTATTAGCATTTGCCCACTGCCTAAATCACACTCTGGTACCCGGATACATAACAGTTTAATCGATTCTGATTGGTCAAGAGTCTGTGTACATGCAGCTCTCCACGCGCACACTAATTGGACAATTTGCGCAAGGACTATTCCATAAAATGGACAGGGCTGTTCGGGAAAATGAAAGTAAAATTTTAGAACAAAATTGCCAGAAATCCATCATATATTGACTTCTTTTGACTCTGACAGAAAAGGTATTTATGAACAGGAATAAATACGTGCTTGACCAGTCTTAAACTAACATTTTAGACCAGCTCAGGAGGCTGAACGCTGATAACGCTCGAGCCGCATTCTCCTCAGCCGGTCTTAAATTCACGTTTAAAGCCAAGCACATATTTATTCCCTTTTTAACACAAGCCAGCAGGATCAGTCTGGCACAGAATTTTGTTGGATTTATGCCAAGTGCCATTAATTTGTAAAGCCAAATAAAATCTGCTACAACTGAGACACAATATCCCACAGCAACAAAGTGCCAATTATTAGTCCGTGAAGTAGCACGCTCAGCCAAGACAAGCCAGGAACCAGTAATGGCTAAAACTCGTCGTACAGGCGTTTTGGCCAGTAACATGCTTTTGCTAAAGAAAAACCTTTTTCTACATTTAGCCGTTCAAAAAATGGCCTTAGACTTAGTGAGTGCTTTGGGATTTGAAAAAAGGTCATGGCCTTTATACTAAGGCACCACATTTTGGCCAGTCAGGGCTGTCTTAAGAATCCCATCACAGAATGATTGGCAAGGCTGAGTGCTTCTTTCTTCCTCTGGGTGACAACTGTTATAGAAAGTGGGCAACATTTAGGATGTACAGCCCAAGTCGGTCTCTGCCCTATGTGAAAATGAAAAAAAAAACTGCAGTATCACTTCCCATCCACGTTTTTCATTATCACTAATCCATGCATGTGGGTTCTTAGACGACATTAAGCCTCCTTTGGTTTTACAGCACAAATGTGCACAAATGCCCACAGTCACTGGTGAGCAGGTATTTTCT